AAAAGGTATGTTCTTGCTAAAATGCTCCCAAATGTAAGATTGTCATATCATAAAAGTAGAATAAGAACCCCTTAGTTCTATAATACTACAGTGGCTCAACTAGGGCTGACTTCTAATAGTCGAGGATTCGAGGATTCGATTCGGAGAGGTCTGATTCGACTATGAACCTCATAGTCGAATAGTAGGCAAGTGTTATGAGGGGTGTGACATTATTATATAACCGTGAGACCGATGGTTATAGTTGAACACCGTCATTAGAACTCTATAACCGCCAAAACCGTGCTATTAAAATATTTTTTACAAACATTTTTATCATAGAGAATGTTTAAATACTAATATCATCTTACGAGGGAAACAGAGGCGGAGTTAGTGGTGCGATCGGAGGCTGAGATGATTGGGGAGAGGTCTGTGCACCTTTACCGATCAGAGCGCGCTCTGACACGGAGTAAAGCCTTGTTTATACTCGATGCGTCAGCAAGAGCGCGAAGGTGCGGACGGCAAAAAAATGCGTTGGGTGCGCAAGACCGGCAAGACCCCATTTCGCTTGGCTGTGTGCACATCTTTTTTTGTAACAGCGCGCGCGACGCCGCATCCGAGGATGAACGACTTCAAGCCGAATCTGCCCGAGCATGTAGGCTACGTCTCACCGCACCGGCACGCAGTTTGCGCGTCTAAATTGCAAATTTCATTGCAAAGTTTTTTTGTTAAGGTTTTGTTTACTGTGTGTGATTTATTTAAAACAACGCACGTTCATTGCAACGTTTTTTTTGTGTTAAGGATTCATTTAATGGAAAGCACATTCACTTCTAGTTGTCTTGCTGTTCATTTTAAATAAACGTAGAGCGAGTTGTCCTATAACAGACGAACAGTTATTCAACCGAACGTCTAGGTGCTATCTAAAAAGGTTCGACTATCAGAATCAAAATCTAGCAAAATCTAACGAATCAGATTCGACTATGAAAATCCTTAGTCGAAAACAGCCCTAGGCTCAACCTTAGGTTTATCAAGCGAAAAGAATACTTTTTGTGCGCAAAACCCCCCCCAAAACAACTATTTTATTCAACGGTTTATTTTCTTCCATGTGGGCCTCTGACGTGAGTTCACGAGAGCGCCACAAAGCATGCACAAATTTAATACGCGCTCCGGCATGGACCTTCATGAGAAATTGCACTGTGAACTCAAACCCGCTTGGAAGCTTCAGTGTCATAATATGACACTGAAACAAAACCCAGTGTTGTTTCATATTATGAAACAACACTGGGTTTCTTTGGAAATGACGATCATCAGGGAATCTCCTGAAAAACAGGGAATCTCATTTTTACAAGACCTTTTAAAGCATGGAGATTGGATAATCTGGATAGCTATAATCTATAGCATGTTTGCTATATGTGTGCCTTTGCCTGCTTTGCTGAATGGCTTAACATCTTGAGGCTTGACTTATGTGTATCTTGGCTAGTGTAGACCTGCTATGTGCCTGAGCCACATGTCCCAATATGGCTCACACTTATTTATTTAAAACGTGCACTATGTGTGATTTTAACAAAGGATATAACGTTGCAGGCTGATATAGATGAAAATAACTCGCAGCAATCACCTTAAGCATGCATGCTGCATGCAATTATATATATTTGTCTATGGTCGAACAGGTATGCTTGTCTGTAACATCAAAGCAAGGTTGTCTTCCTGCTGCTGCTGCTTCTGCTGCTGTTGTTATTTATGACTCAAAATGCATGTTGATTTGATTATGCTTAATTGTTATTCCTTGCATCATTTGCATCTTGTAAAATGTCAAACGATTTCGAACAGATGTATGTATTGCATACTTCTTAGGGATGCATAATCTAAGAAGTATTACATAATCTTGGGATGCACTTAGGATATCACTTTAACTGTTCAATCTCCAGCACTATACAAAGCAAAACCCCAAGTGTTAAATGAACAATGCTCAGTGTTTATAAAATCCACACTCAGGCTATGTTTACACGGAAACGATCTGAAGAGAAAACGCAAAAATGGCGTTGCATTTTCACTTTTTATTCTGCGTTTAGACGAGCGTTATGGTTGGGAAATCTGTGTGTATATGCAACACATTCTCATCCTATGGCGTCATATAGGTGACGCCATATGACATTTCGTCTAAATACGACGCACATGGCACCCTTTAGCGTCAATATAACACGCACTGTTATGGGTAGGTTTAGGTCTGGGGTAGGGTTACGGTTATGACGCCTTGGGATCTGCGTCTCATATTGACGCTAAAGGATGCCATGTGCGTCGGATTTAGACGAAATGTCAAAAGCGTCACCTGTATGACCCCTTGGGTTCTGTGTCTCATATTGACGCTAAAGGATGCCATGTGTGTCGGATTTTGACGAAATGTCAAAAGTGTCACCTGTATGATGCCTTGGGATGAGAACGAGCTGGTATATGGTGACGCAAAAGTGTGTGAAATTCGATGTAGTATGCACTCCAGGTGGCTAGGTGGCAATGTGAAGCATACGCGACGAAAGCCACCGTGAGCAGATATGTGCCTTACTTTTGCGTTTTTACCATAGACAGTATAAGAAGTGGACAGAGCCATCTCATTGGAACTCAGTTGAGAGAGTTGAAGCCCATTTTTAGCGATTTTTGAGCACTTCCGTTCCTGACGCGCAGACTCAAACCAACTCAAACTAAGCTTGATGACGTGAGCAACCTGTCTGACAGACGTTAATCTTCTAGTAGCTGTGTGAAAATTGCCAACGTTAATCTTGCAGAGACGGGGAACTTGAGCAAAGAGTTCTTTGGCGTGAGTGAGCAGGAGTAAGTATTCCGTTGCTTTTATGGACTCATTATCTATGGGCTTCTCCCTTGACGGGACGTCCCCCCGATTGCCTGCGAGCTTCTCCTCCTGTCTGTACGGTAATTTCTGTACAGCGCGACAGAGAGTCGAGTGGTTATGACACAATCGTTAGCCTATTTTTACTAAATCTGTTTCTACGGGGCCATAATGTAACATAGAAGGTAATGGAGCCCTTTATACATTGTCGTGTTTCTTTAGAAATAAATAATGGACAAAAGGAGTCTTTAAACGCCTCAGATGTAAAGCTATTTGCTGTCAAAGTGACGCCAAAATGAATGGGAGTCAATGGAAATGCTAACGAAAGTGAAGTTCTGCTACAACATGGCGGCACCCGGCCGGCTTCAACTTCCGGTCGATGGATTACCCCCTTGGTTTTTACCCTTTAGACGGGAACACGACGGTGGAGCGTTTTTAAGATTTCCACTCTGGAGGGTGGTTTCACTTTTTTGCGTTTTTAAGCCCCCAAAACGCCATCGCCGTGTAAACGAAAGGCACATTCGATAAAATATTTTTACGTTTTCACCCGGAATCGTTCTTGTGTAAACAGGGCCTCAGAGTGTTATAAGTAACACTGAAGCAATGTTAAAGTAAATGAGATAATTAAGTGATTAATTGCGTGATGATTGAGCATTATTGGAGACACCTGATGTTAACCAGCAGAATCACCGAAGGAGAAAAATGAAATCAAGTCACCGTTATGGTCATCTGTGTTTGGTTTAGTTGGACTCTTGACCATTACATTTTTAACATTAGATTTTGTTTGGGTACTGGAATTCAGTTATAAAATTCTGATGATCAAAAAAAAAAGTTGATCTGATAATGTTGTGTTTAAACATAATCATTATTTGACCTGAATCACTGAACTCATTAAGAATTGTTTTTTTTTAAGGTTAAGTTTACTTTATAGGAGCACTGTCCTTGTAGAGCATACCATTTTTAGCCTTTTCAATGAAATCCAAAATATCAAATCATTTACCAAAATCTTTTTTATAAAGGCACACACAGACATCAAGAATTAGCGTTTGAATCTCAGCAATGGTAACAAACAGATCACCTCAGAACATAAGCTCATTATTTATTCAAGCAGCAATACATGATGGGAGCCATGAATGAGTTTTGATTGGTGACACCCAGAATGCACTGCAACATGCTTTATAATTGTCATCATTGTTGAGATTCACAGGCTGATTTGTGATGTCAGTGTGTCTAAAAAAGAACAAAAAACGTTTATTTATTTATATAAGAACAACTTTTAAGAAATTATTTGGTTTACATTGTATAAGTTAAAAAACTTATGCTGTACAAGGACAGTGCTGCTAATTAACAATGTAATCCTAACTCGTGAGTTCAGTGATTCAGGTCAAATGATTGTGAAAAAATGATTGTGTAACACAACTAACACCATCAGATCACCTTTTCTATTTGATCATCTGGCTGTTATAATTCTGGATTTTGCTGTGTATCTACCCTTGCCTACGCTTTTACTACTCTGCCACAAAAACAAATCAACCAAACTCATCAATGCCAAAGTTATGGAAAATGGACTAACACTCTGATCTCAAGGTTTTGTTGTTATTGTAAAATTCATTGAATTAAATAATTTACATTTAGGACGAAAATAATTTACATTTAGGACCCTTTTAGTCTGTTAATTTAGCTTACCTCTCATTCATCACATCCTAAATTATTGGTTCATGGACTATAGTTTTTTTTTTTTTTTTGTCAGACTATCATGCAATGTAAACTGACCCTATTGAAAAATAATTGTAAAAAAAAAAAAAAAAAATTCTTTTAAAATGCAAATGAAACATTCTTTAAAAAGTAAATTTTCAAATTAATGTCAAATCATTATTAGTCATTTTTAAATGCATTATCATCAGTGTATGATGGTTAAATTACATCAAAGAAACACACAAATCGTGAACATTTGAAATTCACACTCACACACAGTATAAGCCTGCTTCATTTAATGTTTTCATATAAAAAAATTTTTTATGGCAAATTATTGTAATATGGCTGAAAAGAAAACCTAGCAATCACATTTTTTATGTTGTCCAATTCAATAAAACAATTTCCATAGTGTTAGAAATGTCTAGGATAATAAAATCTTTGTTTGTGATCAAGTAATATTCAATCAGATATTTCAACTTCTTTTTTTTTAAAAAAGTCTCATGACTTCCTTCCGTAGTCTTGTCAGATTTAGTCCATAAATGAGGGGATTTAAAATGGGTGGTATGAGTAAGAATTCCAGGGCCATGAAATTACGCAAATCTTGTGGCAAACTCTTTGAACCATAACGAGTGTACAGTACATCAAACAGCAAAGCACCAGTTACATTGAGCAATGCAAGAAGATGTGGTACACATGTTTGCATGAATTTGTGCCTGCCCTCTATTGACTTTCTGCATTTTTTAACCAAGTAAATGTATGAGCAAAATATCAATATTGCATGTCCAACATATATAAAAATGATTACATACCCAATCACATTATTTACTGTTGTAGAAAAACAGGAAAGTTTAACAACTGACCAATTTTCACAATATAGCTTTTCAATACTAGAGCCACATAATGTTAGTTTTGATGTTAATACAATTACAACACAAGCGCAAAAAAATGGAGAAAGCCAACAGAAAAGGATACATTCAAGAACCCTCTGATTGGTCATTATTGAATGATACTCCAGTGGTCTACATATTGCCACAAATCTGTCATATGCCATCACTGTTAATGTTGAAAAGTCACACAAAACAGAAGAATAAATTACAAATATCTGAATCAAGCATCCAGCATAAGAAATCACATGATCATGGGATAATAAATCATACATGAATTTAGGATAGAATCCAGCAGTGCCAAAAAGTCCATTTACACACAGATTACATATAAAGACATACATCGGCTCATGAAGCTTCTTATGCGAGGTTAGAGTGTAAATTATGGTTACATTACACAACACAATTAATGGATAATACAATGCAGTCAATGAAAAAAACACAAATCTTTTCCCCATTGTTTCATTTAGTCCAGAGAGTGTAAACACTAAGACAATGGATTCATTCTCTAGTGGAGGCTGCATCTGGAATGATATACAGAGTCTTGTGATAGTGATATCATTATGCACATCATAATACAAATTAGATCATTTGAAATTAAAAGTTGGATAATTTAAAAATAATAATCATTCAGATAGTCAGCTCTTCAGTGCTGTTATATAAGCGGAAATATTCAGTACTCTAAAGGTAGCATAGGCTGGTTCTTCAAAGACGCAACCAAAGAAATAATTAGAATCTTACCACAATCTCTTTTTGTTAGTTTGACAGTGTTGTGAAAGGTTGATCTGGTGATATACGGAGGCTATCCTCATGCTAATTGTCTTGTTTGTGAACACTTGCAAGACCTTTAAAAAGCTCTCTTGAGAATGTAAAAAAAAAAAAAAAACATCTCAGTCTATTTAAAAAATGCAAAGTAATATGCAAATGAGCACTTCATTATATAAAATTTGGTCACATTATAGTATTAATTATTGGAAATTAAAATCCTCAAATCTTGAAACCCAGATCTTTCAGTGAATAACTTTGCTGAATAGCTGTCTGTAAAAGTCTAGCAATTGTAACCTCATTAAATATTTACAATTTTATTGATTTATTTTGTCTGTAAGATGTATTGTCTTTTTTCATTAGAATCACATGTAAGGCATTAATCATAAGGAGACAACACTATTAGCTACACAGCAAAATCCCCAGTGTTAAATCAACTCTGCTCAGAGCACATATGGTCCCACTCTACAGAGTGTTAAAGTAACACTGAAGCAATGTTAAAGTTAATGAGATAATTAAGTGATTAATTAAGTGATGATTGAGTATTAGTGGTGAACACCTGCTGTTAACAAGCAGAATCACTGAAGGAAAGAAAAACACAAGAACTACAACTGACTTTTAATCACAGCCTTAGGCCCTGTCCACACGGACACGGGTATTTTTATAACGGTGACTTTTTTTACGCGGTTCGGCCGTTCGTCCACACGGAAACGCACTGAAACCGAACATTTTTGAAAACCCCTGCCAGGGTGAGGATTTTCAGAAACGCCAGTTACAGTGTTGTCGTGTAGACCAGTGGTTCCCAAACCTGTCCTCACGGCACCCCAACACTGCACGTTTTCTTTATCTCCCTAATCAAACACACCTGATTCAACTCATCAGCTCATTATCACATGGGTTAATGAGCTGATGAGTTGAATCAGGTGTGTTTGATTAGGGAGATAAAGAAAACGTGCAGTGTTGGGGTGCCGTGAGGACAGGTTTGGGAACCACTGGTGTAGACAGTGAAACCGGGGTTTTTGCCTTGCAACGTCAGAGTGTGCGCCGTTATCCGCTGTGTTTGACGTCAGATTTATGCCAACCGGAACCGGTAATAACTTTTTGTTAGGCTTCTGATTTGTTTTACGGTTAATCGCCGCCTGCTGGCGTGGCATGCTTTTGACCGCAAAAAACACGCTTAATAGCGTGTTTTTGCGTTTTCATGTAGACGGAGACCGAGCATGTGTGGACGGGATTTTTTTTTAAAACGCTGGAGGAAAAACTCCGGTTATAAAAATAACCGTGTCCATGTGAACAAGGCCTTAGATTAAATCAAATGAAGATAAAAAGAAGACATTAAATCTGTGAAGATCTCAGCAGAGGAGGATTAAACAACTCCACAAACAGCATTACCAGCTTCACTTGTTACTAACCAGACTGACTTTATTTCTGTCAGACGTCTACAGAAGTTTTTATTGAGAATTAACAGAGGTTTAGGTGTTGATGGTTTAAAGTCACCATTTAAAAAACACCATTATGGTGAACAGTGTGTCCTTTAGTTGGGCAATTTGACTCTTGACTTCTTATGTGAATGTATGGTCTTTGTAACAGTGTTTACCAAAACACATAATTTGTTGCAAAAAAAGCCAAAAACAAAAGTGGTCTGGAGATAGGCCTATAGTTTACAACATAATAAAGAACAAAAAATGACCAAAAGTTGTAATATGTTATTAATAGTTTGTTTTCAACAACATTATTTTGTTTATACAGATCGGACATCAAGCTGATTTTTTTTTATATTGGGAAAGTAATCTTTGGACACACACACACACACATACATCAAGAATCCACATATGAATCTCAACAATGGTGACATGCTTTTTGCCGCAATGCATTCTGGGAGGCACCATAGTTTAAAACTCTTGGCTCCCAGCATGCATTGTAGCATGAAGCATTTCACCATTGTTGAGATTCATATGCTGATTCTTGATGTCTGTTTGTTTCAAAAAAAAAGTGTAATTTTCAAAAACTGTCTGCAATGTATTTAAAAATTCAGAATGTCTGCTCTGTGTCAAGAAAAGTGAAAGTTATTTATTAAAAACAAATTACAACTTTTGGTCAGGGATAAGATTAGAGAACCATTCTATTACTTTATTATGAAAACTACTACACTTGAACACCTTTGTCTATTGTTTCCTTTGTAACAAATTATGTGCTTTGGTAAACACTGTTACAAAGACCAAAATTGCACTTAAAATTCCAAGAGTCAAACTGCTCAACTAAAGGAAAGACTGATCACAATAATGGTGACCAAACATTTTAAAACATTGACATCTAAACCTCCGTTCATAGACGTCTGACAGAAATAAAGTCAGTATGGTTAGTAATAAATAAAGCTGGTAATGCTGTTTGTGGAGTTGTTTAATCCTCCTCTGCTGAGATCTTCAGATATTTAATGTCTTCTTTTTATCTTCATCTGATTTAATCTAAGGCTGTGACTGAAAGTCAGTTGTAGTTCTTGTGTTTCTCTTTCCTTCAGTGGCTGCGTTTACACTTGGCATTAACATGCGACCTGTATCTGGATGTTGTCCACATACACATTGAAAAGACAAGTGTAAACGCACATCTGATCGGAATGTTATCCTATCAGCGTGTCACGGTTCGGAGGTAGTCGAGGACGCATTGTGATCGGATCTCAGTGTAATGTAAACGCAATCCAGCCATCGTGTCTGCATTCACAGGTGAACGTGATTTAAATCCCCGCCCAGTCTCCCCGCGTGACTGTCAGAAAGTAATGGCCAGACGCAGTTTAGACACGAAATTAAACTTATTTGAACAATAAACATCAATCTTTAAAACAGTTTATTTATGTGTGTCATTTTTCATTTTAATTGTGCAACATTATCTGAACGAGGCGATCGCCTGTACACTCACAGTCAGTCATGATTGATCTTAATGAAGAGCTGCACTTGCCAGAGGATTAATCGGAATCGGAATTTTGTAAATGTTTTAAATGTTGAATGTTTTTATTGTTTCAGCATGTTTATCAATCTCCCATTTCTGTCAATATAGTCATTGCACGCAACCTTAAACCCAGATGATCGATGATGTGACTTGTTTAACATGATTAACCCAGTTATTTTTGTAAGATCAACTCTGGAAGTATTCCTTCTTTCAAAAAATATAATTTGATCGAATTAATGGAGATTGCATATGAAAGTAAAGTGAGTGAGTGAAAGCAATTGGGATGTTGTTTAATTTGTATCATCTTTACTATTAATCTGGTGTCGTGCCACAGACCTGATTTAAATATTATGCGGAAACAGAAATCCGATCGGTTATCCAGATACAGAGGCTGCTTAATGTGAACAAATATAAACGCACCATGTCCTGATTGGCTAATGATCAGATCTGCTTGATCGGATCACGGTGATCGCATGTTAATGCCAAGTGTAAACGCAGCCAGTGATTCTGCTTGTTAACAGCAGGTGTTTATAACTAATACTCAATCATCACCCAATTAGTCACTTAATTATCTCATTAACTTTAACACTGCTTCAGTGTTACTTTAGCACTCTGTAGAGTGGGACCATATGTACTCTGGGCAGTGTTGATTTAACACTGGGGATTTTGCTGTGTATAAGCTAGAGCATATTATTTTAAAGTACACTTTAAAAAAATTGGCTTTAATTAACTTTTTTATCTCAACAGGTTCTTACATAACTGGGTAACGTTAAACAAACATAATTTGTTCATGTAATATTCAACATCATGGAATTAAGTAATTTTAAGTGACCCAATTAAACTCTAAGCTGAGTGTTAAAGTTAATGAGATAATTAAGTGAATAATTTAGTGATGATTGAGCATTATTAAAGACCCCAGATGTTAACAAGCAAAATCACTGAAGGAGAAAACCGTAATTTTATTTGGTGTTTGTTTTAGTTGGGCTCTTGACTCCCACATCTTGGTGAAACTTGCCAAACTGGGTACGCCTCCGGAGGGTCTGGTATGCCCAAGTACGGTGAACGATGACCCCTACGCCTCTGTTCTGCTCTCCAGAGCAAATACAGAGTGGTGACTCTCTCGATGAATGCTCAATCAACATCAGCCATCTTGAAAAAAGGCAACCGTCTAGCACTTGCTCCTCCCACAAGAAGCGGATTTCGCCTCAGGTGTGCGTCAATTTCACTTCAAACTTGTGCTTTTTACACGCGTCCTATTCCCTCTGGAAGTGTGAATGGATTAAAAATGTTCAAGCGTCCAACTAGACGCGATAGACACGAATTTGACGCTTTATTCGCGTTTGGCGTGAACGCAGCATTAGACCTTACCAGGCTTTTTTTTTTCACTGATAATTTTACCGTTCTTTACTGTAACCTACAGTACGTTACTGTAAAAATATCATGCACTAAATTAAAACTCGAGTTAACTAATTTCACTTGCAGGTATAAAAATATATACCTGTTTTATAACTTACAGTTTATTACTGTTAAAGTGTAAATTGCAGGTTAACCACCACAACCAATTAATGGGTAAATTAAAGTGCTCAATGTGTATATATGTAAAAATGTCTGTCTTAAAATGCGTTAAAATAACATTTATTGGGGTTTCTTCAAAGGTAGCATGTTTTTTACCGTAACTGGGTGATGACGTCATAAAAGGGAGCACGGGCGGTAATGCACTCACTCTGTGTGTGCCGGTTGAGGGAAAATAAAACGATTCGCGGGACTCCCGCACACTAGATGATTAAAACATAAAAACGAATACATTTTTATTCAT